TCTCTCTCTCTCTCTCTCTCTCTCTCTTTCTCTCTTTCTCTCTTTCTCTTTCTCTCTCGTTGAAAAAATTATACTCTATTGAAAATTATTTGTTAATTAATATGAAGTTTATTATTTAATTCCTTATAGTATTGAACCAGCTCACATAGAGTATGGAAATCATTTTGAGGACTACTACATAGCCCAAACCATTGGTAAAAATTCTTATAACAGACAACTGTCCCATCAAAACAAAAACTACAGTTTTATTGATGAATGTCTAATAAAATACGGTATTGATTGCCCTTTCTCATTGTTTAATATATACCACATACTACCTACTAATTAACAAAATGATTTCTATAGAATTCACTTTATTGTACATTTGTTTCTGTGTTTGGGAATTAGTTTTTAGACATTATTTTAGTTTTAAAGGCATTCAATAGAGTTGGAGAGAAAATTCATTTATTTATTATTCAATTATATTAATTGCATTTCTATTGAAAACCACAGTTTTAGATTTTATTTTTATATAGTTTTCACGCTTATATTTATCACATTTTATAAAATTATTATATTATTACGTTAATTAAAATTTTGTTTTATTTAAAAACATCGATTCTGTGAACATATTACCAGTTTAATGGAATAAATGAAATTATTTTATATTGTGTTTTTAACTTGGCATTTATATTTATTTATAATTATTTTGTAATTATACTAATTTATAAAACTATTGTAAAATCATAGTTTTGTTTGAATCGTATAGTTTGTCAGAAAATATATTTAAATCTTACTATTCTTTTAAACAATGTTTTGATTAAACAAAATGTATTGAGAATTGTTTTCCTATTTAATAGAAACTAATAACTTATTAAAAGATGAATTTTTTATTTAAACTTTTAATTTAAATATCAACTCATAAAAAATCAGATACTATATTTAAATGTTATAAAATTAATATTTTTTATGAATTATACAACAAACATTGAAAAATAATAACATTGATTATTGAATAGTTTTTAAATGTTATATTTTACTATTTATATGTTACTATTCAATGAAGATTCAATAGATATTAGGATTATTGTATTAAAATCTAATTAATAATTATATTTTGAATTTTGAATTTATTTATGAATTAGGTTTTCTTTTAGTTAATACATTTACATTATTCATTAAAATATAGTATTTATCAATGGACAAAAATTTATTTATAATACATATTTTAATTTAAACATTAAATAAATATTATTTGTTATAATAATAAGAATAGATTATATAATATACTATACTAATTTATATATTTTTTTCATAATACCACAAGTATCTCTACTACACTACTCTATAAATACAAAGTTAAATAATTTTATTACATAATATTACACATTCCACATAAATTCAATTCAATTAAACAAGGTTTATAATCATATTATGGATTTGAACTTGATACTAGTATTTAATTCATACTTTATTAATATAGTGTATGTACTGAAAAAATAAATGCTCGGAAAGCCTACCACTAAAATGGATAGAAACCTGAGGGACCGATAAAATAGATATTCTTATAATTAGCGGACAGGTCCTCTCGGGTGAACATAATAGGCAGTCGACGTCTGACCGATAGGCCTAACTTCTCGGCCAAATACTGGGCGCCATCATTGCAATCCCAGGCCTCCAAATACAAGCCATCAAAGCCGACAAACTTAATAACGCCGTTATAAGTGAGGGCTTCCGCGATGTCGTCGCTGTTTGCGTACAACGGCTGCGGACTAATGGAGTTGTCGTTTGTGGTCTTGAAGATGGCATAACCGGCGATATAGCCGTTCTCGATATACCGGGCCAGTAGTGATATAGTGCCCGACTCGGCGATTGCCATCTCCAGAAACTGAGCCCTATTTATGCCGCAGATCTGCTCGTCGTACTCAATCACATCCACCAGATTATGGACTGGTATTCAAAGGAATGGTATTCAAAGGAAATCAGAAAATTTATTTTAATTTGTCACAAATAATTACTTTGTTGTGTAGGACTGACCCGTAATATAGTCGACGTCGCAATAGTCAATGTATTTGTTGAGCGCAAACAGTTGCGGTATACCGGAGTAGGCGATCATACGGCGGGCCGGTATCACCTGAAAGCCGGACTTCTCCTTGAAGGTGGCGATAGTCTTGGGCTCCGGAAATATAGCGCAGTTCCGCTTCGAGCAGTGCTCTAAACACCGTTTCCATAGGGAGTGTCCGATACCCAGCTTCCGGTATTTGGGCACAACTGCATACTCGCCCACAAACGCCAGGTCTCGGGTAATGTTAAACCCCGAGCACACGCCTAGTATTTGACCTTTGATTGTGTCCGGGTAAATGTGATATTTGAACAAGCATTAGTAAGCTATGTTTAGTTTAGATATTATTCAAGTTTTTTTCTATTTTTGTAGGAAATTCTTGTTAAATGAATTCTTTCGAGAATTGGTTATTATATTGAATTCATGAGATATAAGATTAGTTTTTAGAATTAGTTCCCAAATAGAAATAAAAACTGATCTTGAATAATTCATGTTTAGTATTTGTTATTACAATGAATTTACTTTGATGTTATATTTAGGATCAATTTTATGTTATAATGAACTAATAATTTATCGCATTCATTATACTGTAGTAATACTAAAAATACTTCTAAACGTATTAAGATATAAAAACATAAATAAATAATTTTATAAATATCATTTCCTATTACAATTACAATTATTAAATTTTATGTAAATTAAGTAGCAGTATTATTTACCAGTATCCGTATCCTCTGCTACGAACAGACAATTTGAATCAATTTTGAGCATGGTAATATTAGTGTGATTGCCAACAGTAATTCCCAAAGAGGACAGTATATCCAGCACCTGGTCGTTATCATACAAAGCCATTTGTCTCACAATATAATCCGGACGCTTAATAATTGACATATTTTTGTTGTTATTAATCCAATGCACAGAATATTCTTTACGCAAAATATTTGCTATATTTCTCAATAATTATTATTTAAAAAAATAACTTTTAAATCAACTTTTGTATTACAAAATATACAAACACAAACTCCAATATTAAATAAGATTTAAATAATAATCCGGAATATTATTGCATAGTATTAATACAGTAGGAAATATACAGAATTATGAATTTAATTGTGAGTTTGCGCCAGAATTTAGGCTATCCTTGAATTTTTTGGTTTTAATTATTCACTATTTTTGGTGAATAATAATTACTGCTAATTATTATTACTAACAATTATTGCATTTATTTTTATGGTCATCGCATACGATTGATATTGCATTATACATTCAATTGTATATTAAATTTAATACCTGTACAAATTAATGTGTAAAACAAAAGCATATATTAGTGATTTAAAAAATGATAAAATCTGTTGTGAATTCAGTTCAAAGAATTTATTATTAAAATATTACTAGAATTTATGGAAACCCTTGATTTTTGTGTATGATATACAGTATATGTAATCTTATTATTAACATTTTATGTAAATTTTTATTCATATTTGTATGAAATGTGTAAACAATTAATTATTTGTAGTTACGAAAAAATAAATGTTAAATATTTTTACAATAGATTTTAATTAATTAATGTAGTGTGTATTATCCATTAGTGTACTAGCACATTTGTGATGAACTTCATAAGCAAGTTATATGTGTCGGAAGTACTTATAAATAGTATATTTATTTTTTTGGCGCAGAATTCATTGCAATGGATATTATATCATATAAAATGATTGAATAATGATTTGTTTTAGACTCTCATTAACCTGAATAAGCCGTCTGTAATACCATTAATAATACTAATATCATAATTATTTGCATAAAATTTTGTCTCAAAAACATATTACATATTATGAATGTATATCAGATTTCACAGCAAATAACCCTGAAATCGTACAAAGAATTTATTAGCAAGTATAATCCAGAATTTGAAAATATTATATATTTTAATAAATGTATTGTCATTTTGAGAATTAAATATTTTAAATTATTTTAAATATTCACAGATTTGCGATTAAAATGCAAATAATTTCGTAATTGATATTAAAGGGAAAATGATTGAAATCATTTTAATTAATTAATTTTTTATACTTCATTGTCAATGAGTTGTCTGTAAAAAATCAATTTTTATATTAACGACAACGATATGACATTGACTTTGATGTCAGGTTTGATGTGAGGGTGTGTTTGGTTACTATTATTATTACTGTAATCCATGTATTTATAGTAATCATTAGTTTTTCATTAATTTATTTTAAAAATATTGATTTATGTTAACATTACATTGACAGCGGTTTTACCCACAAACTACTGTTCCCTTTATTCATGTTTTAGTAAGATTAAAAACATACACTAATTAACCTGATAAATACGGTACACCCTGTACATTTTAATTAATTTTTATTACAGTAATAATTTAAAATAAGTTCCTTACTACTATCTTACCTATGATATTGAGTTATACAATGTTATACTACGGAAATCATACTACCTGTGCCTTATAACCGGCTCAGTACTCTCAAGTCAATTAAACTCCTTATTGTTGTAGTGATGACCTAACCAAGGTCAATGACTTCTAACTTAAAATGACATTTTGTTTGAAATCAAGTTATTGCAATTCTTGTTAAATAATCTTATATTTTATTATAAATTATATTAATAAAATAAACATTTCGTAGTAATAACATAATAGTTAAAATTTGTAAAATGCTAAATTTACTAATAAAATATGTCTAATATAAATATTAAATTAATTAAAATAATTTCTTGAAATGTTTGGTGTCTAATATGAATCATAATGTAGTGATCGAGAGCTCCAATTAATGTGAATTAAAAATTTTGGCAAAAATATCTGTGAATTAGAAAAACGAAATTTTAATTCAAGGAAATATTTTTTAAATTATGGCTTAAATTATGTTTGTTATATATCAAGTTATTTATACGAATTAATTTTAAATATCTTTAGATAATAAAGTACTGTAGTAATAATTTTGAAAAATAATAGTAATAAAATATTAGAAAATACCCTTTTGTTGGGAATTTGACAAAACTTAAATACAAATAAAATGAAAATTTTAAATGTCCTTAGAGAGAGACAAATTATGGGAAATTTAACAACTTATTTGAATTTAAAACTATCTTTTGTAGAGTAATAACTATAAGTTTAAATAAAATATTATTATTTGTATGAGATTATCCTTATAGATTTTAACTTTATAAAATATAACTTGCTAACATTAATTTAAGATTATATTAAAATATTGAAACAAAATAAATAATTACAAGAAATGCGAGTTATATATAGACTGTATATAACCGGGAAGTGGTGTGAATGAGATGTTGAGGTCGAGGTGTGGTGTGGACGGCATGACTCGGATGATACATATCAGGCGATATAAAATGGTAGCATGGACAATTGTGTGTCCGAGGTGAGAAATATAGCAGGCTGCACGAAAATCACGTCAATTATATTACACAACAGGAACAGTGAGTCCAATATAGACGAGTCGTCCTCTTCTAACAACATTTTCATTCACTTATTATGTAATTATTTTTCACTATTTCTTGTTATAAGTAACACTTTATTTGGTATTTTTGTCGACAAATTAGTTATCACTTTAACGGAAGAATTGTATAAAAAATTATCAATTTATTTAAATATACTATTTATTAGTCGATTATATTGTATGACATAACGTAAGGATTGCACACAACTTCCCATTTGAATGAAAATAGTTTTTATACAAAGTTTTACTTTACGTTTGGATTCATAACCCAATTCTTGCGATTATCTTATATATAAACTCATGTTTTCATATTAAAAATATATTTTGTTTTATCATTGAATACAGTTAAGAGTTATTTAAGACGTGATTGTATTTGGAAAAGTGAGTTCAAAAACAGTTGAATCAAAAAATAATATTATTATTAAAAATAGTGTTGAATGTAGGATAGAGTGAAACGTTTTGCACTAAAACTTGTTTTGAATCATTATTTCCGCTATTCTATAGTCTATGGAAATACAGCAAAGTCTGTGATATTGTCTAACTATTAGTGTGTTTAGTGAGGACTGGGAGGCAAAAGTAGTTCCCAACTGACTATTCCGGTTCTCGTAGTGTTCAGTGATCTTACATATGGTTTCGTATCATTTCTTCATTATTTAGTTTGTGTTTTGTTTTACTAATATGAATATACACTTAGGCTTACCATCGATGGACTCATTGTGTAATATAAAGTAGATTACAAATAATAAATATACTGTATATTATATACAAGTATTTAAATTGAGAATCTATTTTGTGATTGATGATAAATTGAGTTATCTATACATTTTATGCAACAAAATAACTTATAAACAATTATATTTTGAGATCATTTAATTAGCATTAAGTTTATTAAACATTTTACAGATTAATAAATATAAACCGCTATTTTAAGCAAGAATTATAATTTAAAAGCAAATAATTTTAATTGTTATTTTAAGTTATTTCAGTAATTAAGCAAGGGAATGCAAAATGTCTATATACTAATTATATGTAATGAAAAGGTAATCACGTATTCATTAAGCATTTCTTTGAGTGGGGAATCGTTTGCCATAAATAAGTCCACGTCTGTAGCCGACACGGAAAGGCTGTTCACTGCAGTCGACACTTGCGGCCAAAACTTGAATCAAATTATATTTCAATAAATATTATAAATATAAATTCATTTTAAAAGATACTTTTTAAATTATTTTCAATTGTACATTATAATTATAATTGTATAATATATTAATATAATTTATAATGATGTAAAATAATACCAGCAATTAATGTAATAATTGTTAACACCGTAACAAATATATAAATTGAAGTCATTTTAAATTAGTAAATTAATATCAAGTTAGGGTATGTCATATAATAGAAAGTATTGTCTAATTATAATATATAGATAAATATTTTTGCAAATATGTGATAATTTTATTATATCTGAAAGGATGTCATATATTTGAACGAAAAATTTAATTTTTTATATAACCGGTAAAATGGAATAAATAGAATTTTATAATGGAAATACAGTATGATCAAGGCTATTGTAAGAACATGGATGCTATTCAAATTTGCAAGATAAAAGTACATTATTTTTCAATTACATAATTGAATTATATTTATTTAAATTTTACAAATTGTATAATATATAGTAAACAAGGCGGATGACTGAAGTCAATCGATACACATACGCTTTTCAAGTTTATGTCAATTAATATAATAAAAGTTATTCTTATTATTCAATTTCTTGGGATTATATTACTCAACATTAATTTATTTATTAAATAAATTTAATAACATTTCTTTAATTGTTCCACATAAAATTGTATATAAATGCGTTAATTGTGGTTTCATTTATTAATTCCTTAAGTAAAATTTCCTTAGCTAACTTTCTTAAAATTTTAGGCCGTTGCTGCTTAAAATTATAAAGTTTCTATAAGGATTGTTATAAATTTAACATTAAAGAATTTAATAAATATTTGATTGGTATTACAATATTGTCAATACCGGTGATTAGTTTTCGCATACTGTACAATCGTTTACATGTATTCACCGCTCGCTAGAGGGCATCATAGGGCGTCCAGGGTGAACAGTACATTACGCGAATGCCCATCAACTGACCCCTTTCAGTACGTCCACGTGTGTGCACCGCCCGATAGAGGGCGTCATAGGGCGCATAGGGCGTCATATGGCGTCATATGGCGTCATAGGGCGTCATAGGGCGCATAGGGCGTCATATGGCGTCATAGGGCTTAAAATAACTGATAGCCGGGTCCTGTTTGGGCGCTTCGGGCCGTCACTACACTCAGACCCTACCCGTGGGAGGGATGAGTGAAACGAAGCGTTTGAGGTTTAAAACAGAAATGAAGTCTTTAGTGGAAAAATGTGTCCTTTTATACGAAAATGAGTCAAAAATAAAAGAAAGCAAATGTTTTCATTGGTTTAACTAAAATACAGTTCTCTCTTATCTACTAATAATAAAGATATACTCGTTCAATTTGATCTGGATACTTTTTCCTAAGGGCTCATTCAATAAGTACGTACGCACTGGATGGGGGGAGGGGGGTCATCCAAGGCATGCGTACACAATGTTAAAGTCCTATGTACGAGGGGCGTTTTGGGGGGAGGGGGGGTCAATTTTTAGACA